AAATAAAATAAAAGCAACAGAATACAGATACATGCCCAGGAGAGCTGGTGTGTCTCAGGATGCACTGCATTTCCTCCCTTTATCGATTTTGCTCTGGAAAGATGATATGAATAGCTTGCAAAATATGAATGGCAAGTACTAAATTTGGGAATCTTCTTTACTGTTTGGATTGAGGACTAGGACCCTTCTGGAGTGCAAGACAGATCCCCCTTATGGGTGCATGCCTCCCTCAGCTTCCCAGCCTCTCTCCTGATGCCTAGTCTATCATTCTGTTTTAACCCAGGAAGAAGATGAAGTGCCGGACGATGAGACTCTGAACCAAATGATTGCTCGGCGAGAAGAGGAGTTTGACCTATTTATGGTAATGTTTCAGAAAATCACCACAACCTACTGCCTTCCTGCTCCACCCTTTTTTCCTGTTAACTAAGATGCCTGGAGCCTGTGTGCCCTGGCAGAACTTCACTATGAAGCCTGTGCCTTCCTTCAATTCAGACTCTGCAAACTGGCTGGATTTAGCCTGCAGACGTATTTTGTTTGGCCCGCATAGCGTTTGTTAAAATTTTGCATTTGTTGCCAACATAAAAAGAATCTTGAATTCTGGCTTCTTTTTAAAAAATGAGATTGGGCAGCATCGGTCCCAACACTGTAGAGAAGCAGTTGGCCGGAGCTGAGTAGCAGCTGCACTCTCTGGACAGGCCATGGGGTCCGGTATGCCCTCACACCTAGTGCCTCTCTAGCCCCAGCCCAACAGCATTCATCTAGACATCTAGACAGCTAGATGCCTGTCTAGCTCATGGAGGCACCGGAGCACACAACTGTGTCCTAGCTGCCTCCTTCCAGTGAAAGCAAACATGATCCTGGGGGGACAGGTGGGCAACAGCACCCCACATGACACAGGTGCGCCTCTTCTCCTCATTGCTGAAAGCCAGCTTAAGCCACGCAGATCAAGGAAGGTGTAGCCTTCATTTAAAGAGCAAAAATGCCTGGATTTTCTTGGAACAAAGTAGGTCTAAAAGAACTTTGGCATTTAAGAATGTAATACCCACGTTCAACCTTGAAGTTCCATAATACGTAGCACGTGTAATTTTGTGGAAACCAGCATTGTATTTATCCACGTGGCATGCTGCAAGCCAGGGCTTGAGGGGAGCAAGCTGGTAGGTGAGGGAAGGCCGTGTAGCACCTCATGGAGCGGAGTTTCCTACGTGTTTGCTCTTCTGTTTACTCTGTATCTTCAGTGGCCAGATGAGTCCAATGCATGTAGCTGTCACTTAATAGACAGCTACTGAATGAATGATGATATTTACAAGGCTTCAGGCTTTTGTAAATATGTCCGCATGGGTTCGAATACATAAAGCTCAGAGGTTTCCTCCAGGGTCTTTGATCATTTTGCTCTTTGTCAAAGACATTGAACTTGGTTGTGGAGGGAGTGAATAAATGCAAATCATAGCTTTAGCTGCAGAACCCTAAAATCAAAAGTCCTGAATTTGTATGCCCTTCAATCTCAGGTAAGAGGCCTGTGCAAACAAAGCAAGCAGCGTGGGTAAGTGGCTGGAAGATGCTGATTCTTGGGACAAAGCGACAAGGTAGAAATGTGCGAACCATGTAGCCAGAAATCATAAATTTGCAAGAGAAGCTGGAAATCCGTTTTATATGCAGTCTCAGGATTTCAGAGTATTTGCAACTAAATTCAGGGCTTTAAAATTACTATAACATTGTGGGCCAAGCAAAACACAATTGTGGGCCAAATATGACCCAGTGGGTTTGCAATTTCCACCTTTTTAGCCTAAACAATCTGAGAATGGAGCTCTGGCTCTGTGGATGCTGCAGAGTTTTGTGATTTTTGTCTAGGGAACAACTGATTGTGTCACACCTAATGATTCATGATAAAAAGACCTTTAACTCTTTCTTGGGAAACTTGAGATAGCCATAGCAGTCACCCCTAAACTAACTCCTAACCTTGAATATGTGCTCCTCCTGTCCTCCCCTACTCCCCAAAAGCTGCCTTACCTGGGTCAAGTCATTTTGGAGAGAAAGGGCAATCGGAAGACGTAACCTACACACAGTCTCCATATAACCTGAATTTCTGAATTCTCACTGTTGATCACCATATTTCTAGATTACACTCGACTTCAGGAGACTGGGGACACAAATTGGAAGTAGAGATCCTCCTCCTCCAGGAATTTATTAAAATGTGGACAACAGGGAGTGGTATGAAGTCAAGAGCCCCTCAGCTTCCCTGCCTGATCACTGATCGGCAATGATTCTGCGCTACTATGGCCTCAGATATTTTCAGGATGCAGGAGAAATTACCTGGCACTATACAAATTAGGTTAGGTCCAGAGGTTGTAGAGAGTTCTACTATCAATCCTAAAGGAAAGGATAAAGAATAGTTCTCCCCTACTTCGGGGATGGATATTCCTAGAAGTTGAAAAACTTTAGGGAAAAAATGTGAATGCTTGCCCCAGGCAAAATCTTTTACCTTGGAAATATATTTCCAAGTGAACAGACACCTAACAGGCGAGAATGGCTAGGGAACACACTTGTACAGGTATTTTGATTTGGTGAATCTTCATGTCTGTTTCTTTCAGGTTGGCTTCCGTTTGGGGAATGATGTGGATTTTTGTCTTGTTCGGTTTTTAATACCTTCTAATCTGCTGGCTGGCTTTGGCCGGCTCATTGTTCATTAACACTTCCACCAGGGGGCAGGAAATAAATTTTGAATTCCTGCCAGCTACTCTGATTAAAAGGTTCATTGAGAAACAAGAATGGAATGTGAGCTTGAATAAGATCGTGGGTTTTAAATATTTAAATACTTTATCAATTATTATAAAAGAATGCATTATAAAATTAATAGAGTCATAGATACTATAAACAAGATAAGTAGATAATGGCTTTAAAATAAAACCTGTCTTTTTAAACTTTTGTATTGTTTTCTGCTTCTAAAACTGTGACTTCAGAAAGTTATCTTCATATCAGTGAGCCGTAAATTTTCCCTAAAAGTGTTGACAGCCCAAGATACATATCTGAAATGGTTTGCTAACATACAAACATTGGGCTTTTAGGTACTGTGTTCTTTACAGAAGCAAGACATACTTTTTAAAATTATTGTACTTGTAAGTATAAGGTGTATAATCAGGTCTTGAGATCAGGTTCTGGGGCCAGGGAGCTAGTTGAGCAGTCTAAATCACTCGTTCAGGCAAGCTCAGGCCGGGGGGCCTGCCCTGCCCCAGGGTGGGCTGAGCCAGGAAAAAAAAAGGATCAGGGTACTTAGTGACTAAAGAAGCAGCTGAGGGGCAAGGGAGATAGCTCAGTAGAATAAGCACTTGCCTAGGAAGCACAAGGTCTTGAGTTCAATCCCCAGTACCACAAAAAAAAAAGTTATTAAAATAATTGAATACATAATTATTTGGGGCTGGGGAGATAACTCAGTAGAATAAGTGCCTGCCTGGCAAGCACAGGGTCCTGAGTTCAGTCCCCGGTACTGCAAAAAAAAAAAAAAGGAAAGAAAAAGATTTATACTGTGTTGTGGAGTTGTGGAAGTACACTCTCTGTGGAGGCTTCAAACTTATGCAGTTGCATCTGTCTTTCTCAAAAGAGACCCACACACATGTAATTTTCTTTTTAAATCAGAAAATATTTATTCTGTCAATTTTAGACAGTTGTATAACTTAAGTACTTTGACAGGGTTTGGTATAGGTAATGTAAATAGAGCATTTTTTTTTTTTAAAGTGGAAATATTTTGTCATGTCAATGCGGAACATTAATGAGAAGCATTTTTATTGGTTATCTAGTAACTGCCAGGAAGTTGCTTTATGCAGCCCCTCCTTAGATCCTCCTGTAAATGAACCATCCTTCTCATGCTAATTTTGAGGGTTTGGCTGGTCGCATTTCTGATACCAAACTATTAGAAGGCTGGATTAAGCAGGACATTGTGAGCTAAGTAGAACCCATGACAGCAGGATGGCCGTGTTTATCTACCAGTGGGACTGCACCGTACCCCATCCTGGAAGTGCAACACTTGCCAAAAATGTTGAAGTATAGTTTAAGGAGCTTTGACCTTGAATTTTTATATAGATTCTAAAGGTCGTATTTGGGTGCAAGAGGTAGATACTTCATGTTCAGAAAAAAATATATCCAATCCCTGTTTCAGTACAGTAGAACCGAAGGAAGAGGGAAAAGGTAAATAATTAATGATCTATTTGATTGTGGAAATGATATCTCTAGCTAGTGCTATGTCAGGTATCCAGAATGGCAGTGGTGGTTTTATTTGCTGTTTTTTTTAATCTATCAGATTATTTAGCTATAGTTTAAAGCCAAGTATGTGCAACTCAGCTTATTTGCAAGTGAAGTGATTTTTAAAAGGCAAGCTGAGGTGGAGATATAGACATTTTGAGGCTACAGAAGGATGACATTTTGCATAAAACTTGGTCAGTTAAGATGACCTCGGAGGTCTAGTTCTTTGTGCTGTAACATTTTCATAAGAGCTAAGCCTGTGTCCATGTTGTATTGGGAATTCCATTCATTCATGGCAACTGACTAATCCAAGCCTTTGTATGCTTCCACCTGCCCAGCTGGGGATAGCTATTCTGCAGTGACACCTTGGCTCAATTTTTCCCAAGATTTCACTAATACTGATTAATTAATGAATTAATTGCTACTTAATGAAAAGTATGAGCTCTCTTGAACTAAAGGAAGTACTTTCTCAATGAACTTTCTCTTTTTTTTTTTTAATTTTATTTATTTATTCGTGTGTGTGTGTGTGTGTGTGTGTGTGTGTGGCCAGCTCAGCCCACCAGGGGGCAGGCTGGCTGGCATGTGGTGCTGGGGGATTGAACCGCGGTCCCTGCGCTTTGCCAAGCTTGTTCCAAGTAGGTGCTTTAGACCACTGAGCCATCTCACCAGCCCCGAACTTTCTCTTGAGTACTTAAAAAAATTATTTCTGGGCCAGGAACATAGCTTAGTGGAATAAGTGCTTCCCTGGTAAGCACAAGGTCCTGAGTTCAATCCCTGGTACCCCCCAAAATAAAAAAGCTTATTTCTTCCAGGAAATGAATAAATTTTAAATTTTAAAATTCATCTCCATCTTGAATTTTCTGACTGCTACCTAAGGGGATACTTTGCACACACACAGACTAAGAAGAGGAATTCATGAAGATCGTTTTGAAATACATGAGTAAATCCAGAATATAGGTACAGAGAAAAGGAAGCTTTTATCTGTGAAATCTTTCCCTATATACTGTGGTTTAGGGGTGAGTTAGAGGGCCAGCCAAATAGCTCAGTGGATTAAAGCACCTGTAAGCAGGTGCTGGGGCTGGAGGTTCAATCCCCAGGCCTGGTGTGCTAGTCCCGCCCCCAGGGCACTGCTGAGGCAGCGAATGAGACTGGGTGTGGTGGTGCACGCCTGTAATCCCAGCATTTGGGATACTGTAAACAGGAGAATCGCTGTGAGTCTGATCTAGTAGTGAGACCCTGAACACCCTAAAAAAAAAGGAACATGTCAATGAGAATACAAGAGACTGAAGGGGACCCTGCAACCCTTGAAGAGGGCTTATAGAAGTTGTAAGTGCTGTGGCTCTGTCCTTCGCTTTGGTTAAGACTTTTATGCATTCTTTAGAGAATGGACATGGACCGGCGGAGGGAAGATGCCCGGAATCCAAAGCGCAAGCCTCGCTTAATGGAGGAAGATGAGCTGCCCTCCTGGATTATTAAGGATGATGCCGAAGTGGAAAGGCTCACATGTGAGGAGGAGGAGGAGAAAATCTTTGGTAGGGGATCTCGCCAGCGCCGTGATGTGGACTACAGTGACGCCCTCACGGAGAAGCAGTGGCTCAGGGTAGGTGTGGCTTTTTTGACTTGTGCTTGGTGGTCAGAATGTTTTTGGTGGCTTGGAGAAAGTAGGAGCTTAAAGCTGGAGTCCTCTGAGGGGTTCGCATGCCAATCGGGGTGGGGCTTATGAAGATAAACGATGAAGTAAGATTCTGCTGGTGTGGAAGAGTCATCCTGTTTCAAGGCAGTGCTTGGAACAAGACTACAGTGAGGCTTTTTTTTTTTTTTTTTTTTTTTTTTGCTATTCTAAAATGCATTTAGAATAGGCAGTTGAAAGCACAGGATTATTAGAGCTGTGAGACCCACTAATGTTTTATGACCAATTGCCTGGTCATGTCTCACTCTGTCAAACTGAGAATCATGAGGTAGAAGGGGGGCCTTAAAGGTCTTTTTAAGTATTCCCCCCTTATTTGATGGTCTTTAATCAGAGTTTTACTTTTACAAGACATAGCATAGGAACAACACTGTTTTCTGTGTCATTTCGTAGACCTTAGCCACACTGAGATCTAGAAGATGCCTTTGTACTCTCTTGGTTTAACGAGGAAAACATGAAGCTCAGAGAGGTTGTGTGACTTGTCAGGACAGAATTAGATGAAAATCACAGAATCAGTGGGCGTTTGCATAGGTAACGTTAGTTTGATCTGATCTGCCTGTCACAAACATGCAGGATAGAGCCTGGGACTTGGATCACTGTGACCGGAAACGTTATTGTAGTTTGTTTGTTTGTGTTTTTCTCTTTGGAAAATGATGCTTTCTCATCACTGACTATGTTCCTTATAGAACATACAGGTGGCAATTGCTCATAGGAGCGTGCGTGTGACATGAAGGGTAGTGTGGCTCTTTTCTTTGAAGGTTTTGCTCTGCATCCTTTATTGGGAGCAGACTTGGTACCTTGACAGGCAGAACAGCCTGAGACATGCATTCCAGGCAGGACCAGTAAATGCATGCTGGAAATAGCAAGTAGAGTTGGGTAAAAACCAAACAAAATAGAAGAAATGGTTGGCAGTTGCTCATGTTCTCGAAAGGGAATGCAATTCCCAAGCTTTGTAAAATGAGGGTTTTAGGACCCAGGACATAACTAGGTAGGTTCACAGCAAAGCAATGAAAAGGATTTTGAGATTGGATATCGAAGGCAGATGGGGCATTGGTACCACTTGAGATGTCATTTACTCAGGATGTTATATGATGAGAGGGATGTGACCTGAATTTTGAAAAGATTGAATTCTGTGGGATTCTGAAAAGAGACACTAGTAAAGCATCGTTCACATTTTAGGTTGGACAGGTGCATATAAAATGCAGTGTTGGTGTGACGGTGTCCCTGTCGTGCTCAGTGTTGTATTCTTATGGTCTCAGAATGCAAGGTATGATCAAAATATGTGATCAACATTTGAATTTTTAAAAATTTATTACAATAAAATATGTTACCATTAATTCACTTCAGAAATACTCTCTTGCATTTCAAACACACTTATCCTGGCCTTCTTTCCATTTTCTGAAGGAGTTTTGGAGGCCTTCTTTTTAGTCTTTATGAGACATAAATATACAATAGGTACATCTGTTGAAAAAGGAGCCTTGTGAATGTTCTGCATTGATGCAGGACATCTGGGCAGCCATGAGAGCGCAGCTAAAGACACTTACAAAAGAGGACTTCCAGAACAGCTAAGCAAGTGGCAAGAATGGTGAGATGCACGTACTCAACGTGAAGGAAAGGCAGGTTAATGACAACGTTCTGTTCCCTTTGCAGCAGCAAATATGTAAAAAAAAATTTCAGTGAACTTTTTCATCATACCTCACAGGGTTATATGAATTTCCTTTGTTTCACTGTGGAGGTTATAGTACCTGTAGAATTAAGGTCCATTTTATAATGTGTAGGGTTTTGTTTATTTGTTTAATATTCACTTCTGAACTCAAAAAAGTTTTATTCTGTTTCCATTTCATTTAAGCAATAAATTAAGTACTTGGAATGTTATTACAAGGGCTGCAACAGCCATAATCTAGGCATTGATGGTGAACCTTTTAGAGCTTGCAGTAAGGACAAACAGACCAGTATGGAACCACCGCTGATCCAGGCCAAAGTGTTAGCATCAATTTTTTTATATGAATGATCTATCGATGTTACAAGCAAATTATTGGGCAAGAATGGGCTGAACTTTTCTTTTCTAATAAGGACTGCTTTTAAGACAAATAACATGATTCACAGGAAGTTTTCACATTTTAAGGTACCTTTTCTCTTTCATTTGTGCTTTAGGGAATGCTTATCAAAATAAGGTCTAAGGTTTGGCAAGTAGAATGTTGCGAATTTACCAGCAGTATTCACATAGTGTTTCTCTTTTTAGTGTATCTAGTAGACCACTTTTTAACCTCGAGCTGGCATATCTAAAAGTGGACAACTAATTTGTTATAAGACTGTGTTGTGGAAATTGATGTGCATAATTCAACCCTAAGGTGTCTTGCAGCGTACCTTATCATCCAAGAAGGGCAAAACTATTCTCTGCACAGCTTTACTATATTATGTCTTTTTGTAATCGAATCTTTTGAAAACTACACAGCCATACAGTGAGCTGGCAACTTGCTGTTAAGCAGGACACACGATTAATACGGATGCCCGGTGGCCTAAGCACTCAGGATAGATGCGTCCTGTCATCTTTTGTCTTACTCACCAGCAGAAATCCTGTTTAATATCAGCGTGTTATGTTTTTGATGTAATAACAGTGGAATTCTCAGAGGCCTGGATGTTGAAGAGCTTTTCTCTCCTGGCTGGCGGTTGAACATGTTGAGCGAACCCAGTCAACAGAGCCTTGAAAGGAAGATTGGCAGGGACTGCTGCCTAAGAAGTGCTGTAACATAGCTAAAATAATTCTTCTTTTTCCTGGCAAGGTTGTACAAAACCTGCTTGGCGGAAGCTTAGAAGACACAGAATTGCAGAGTTAGAAGGCAGCTGAATGGAGCAGCTACAGATCACACGCTCTTGCGGTCCCCAAGCCAGCAGGCTGGCCATCCCTCACAGGAAACACACTGTGTCATTGTCTGCATAGCCCCTCTGGTTCGTGGTCAGCCTGAATTGTTAGTTCTCTCTCCCTTTAGACCGAATCTTCATTCCCTGGAGCTGTTCCTTACTGGTCCCAACTCTATTCCCGGGGGTGAACAGAATAATATGCTCCCTGTCTGCAGTTAACATCACAGCCCTTGTGGCTGAAATGTTAGCGGTCTCATGTGAGCCTGGAGTGGACTTCCCTTGTCACAACTCATATCTAATTTCCTAATATTCTTGGTCATGGCCAGTTTGCCTGATTTTTTGTGTATCTTCTATGCTGAATCCATATCTCGATAGACTTGAGGACTTCCGTGTGCAAACGAAGTGTGTGCCCTGAGTGTCACATTGACTGCACTAGACTGAAGTGTGAGAATGCAGAGCAGGGGACAAAGTGCCCAGCTAAACCTTAGGCACATAAGCATGATTTTTAACATTACAAGTTTATTTCTCACTCTCACCAGAGTCTCTGATGTCTTCCCCACTGGTCAGTGTTTGTTCTCCAAAGGCCATAAAGGGACCCAATCTCTGCAGCCTGGTCATCTCCAGTCTCATGAGCAGAGTTCTAACTGGCTGTGCCTGGATGGTCACACATCACTTCCGCTCACATTTTATTGGCCAGAACCTGTTAGTGTGACCACTCCAGCTGCCGAAGAGGCAGGGAAGTGTGACCTGGGAAACCTGAGCCCAGGAAAGCAAGATTTCATTGAATGGCAAGCAGTCTCTGCCTCGGCACACTTAGGTTGCGTTTAAGCAATACTGCTGCTCAACTTGAAAAATGTATTACAGTTTCATCACAAACAGGTTTTATTCTGTAATCATATTGTGCCAAAAAGAAGTTCCCAGTGTCCTTGAGAGGATGTGTTTAGTTGGAGGATTGTAAAAACAAAATTTTCTGTGTGTATAGTGTTGTTTTTAATGAGGAGGGTCACGATTCCAAATGCAGCTCAGCTTTTAAATGGAAATATTTTAAAATAAATAAATAAATTTAAAAACAACAACAAAAAGGAAATATTTTATATTGCTTTGAAATCCCTATTGCCATTGAATATCTTTTTTATTAGTCAGTCTAAAGATAACTTCATCTTTCTGAGGTGGTCAGTTCAACATTGATGTACCCCATAGGCTGTTTCCTTGGGGGTCCTGATCCCATCCTTTTCCCAAGGCTGCATCTGATGCAGGAGGAAACTGGTGTTTTGGCATGACTTTGGGAGCCTGTGGCCTGGTTGTCCTCCTCTGCTGTGGTCCTCTGTAGACCTCAGTGCAGCCCTGCTGGTCTGTGCCATCCCAGGAGGATGTGACAAGCTGGCCTCATCTTGTGTTCTTGGAGACGTTGATGATCTGTGCTCTTGAAGGCTCGGGTTCCTGGTCAACAGCTCTAGCCAGAAGCTGTCAAAGATTTTGACAAGTCAGTGGGACTCCTGGTGCCTGCTGTCAGCTGTTTTCTGTCCTGTTTGGGAGTCTACTACCTCTGGGTTGCGTCCTCCACACGTGGGTACAGTAAATTGGCCCCTTCCACTACAGCTAAGTGGCCACCAGGAGGTTACCAAGCCTGAAGTTTCTAAAAATGTAATAATTGTGTAGATTCACAAACCTTTTTTTTTTTAATTTTTATGTGTGTGTGTGTGTGTGTGTGTGTGTGTGTGGCCAGCTCAGCCCACCAGGGGGCAGGGCTGGCTGGCATGTGGTGCTGGGGGATGAACCGCGGTCCCTGTGCTTTGCTAAGCTTGTTCTAAGTAGGTGCTTTAGATCACTGAGCCATCTCACCAGCCCCTCACAAGTCTTTTATAATAAGAAATCCAAAATATTCCATATTTACACATTTTGTAAAATTGTTTGACCATATGAACACAAGGTGAGGAACCATGCTAGGGCCTGAGACAGAGTTTGTTAAAGCCTGAAGCTTGGGCTTTATGAGCTTCCTAATAAACCCACCTCTGAGTACTTTTAGTGTCTTATTCTCATGTTCCTCATGCCACCCTCCCATCACCCAGGTTTGAATTCCAAAGGACAAAATTCTGTTGCAACCCTAAACTATAAAACAATGCTGGCAGTAACTACAAATTCCATGAGTTAAAGGGCATAATTCCCAAAAAGTACATAGAGAATTCAAGGTCAACCTGAACTACATTAAAGCATAAAAATTTCTAACAAAACTGCCCTTACTTGAAGCTCTTCCCACACTTTGGGGTCTCTTTTATACTTTTAAAAAGTTTTTTTCTGATTCGTTAGAAATGCAGGATTTTCCACAAACCCTTTGGCTCTATAATTTGTTAGAACGGTGCATGGAATTTAGAAAAGTGCCCTTTGCAACTACAATTTCAACTAAACACAGATTATTAAATATACTTCCTTGAGAAGTACACAAATCAAGTATACTTGCCAGCCAAGAGGAGCGGAAGGTGAGGTCTAGAGGGAATCCGAGTCTCCCTGACCTCTCTCTGTGGAACCAGGCTGCAGTGTATGCCCAGAGCATTATCACTGTGTTTCCCAACTAGGATGTCCACTGAGCTTCAGTTTGATAGTTCTTACTGGGGCTTTGATACATAGCTGTAGTCCATGAAATCAGTGGTCATGTGATTATACTCAATCTCCATGTCATCTGACCTCCCTGGAGATCAAGCTGATGCAGAGTCCCAACCTCCTAATGACTGTGTGTGGTCTTTACGGAGTCAGCCTCCATCTGATACAGTTTAGGGGTCCACCAGGAGTTGCCTCATTTATAAATTCCTATCATCAGGAAATGCAAAGATCTAGAAATTCTATGACAGGAAGAAAGGGAAAGTCCAATTCTTTCTTATACAGTGAGTAACAGTATCTTCAGGCCTGACTGTTTCTGTCTTCCTCTTTGTTCCCTTTTCCACCATAGAAGAAGGTGCTCTGGCTTGCCTTCCCGTAAGATAGCAACTTCTTGTCCACTGTATATCAGGGCAGAGGGCTCTACACAGTGACCTCTCATGCCATTCGAAGGATCTCCCTCCTCCAGGCATGGCTTCTAACTGAGGAGGGTCTTGGGAGCAGACAGCACTTCACCCCTTGGTGAATGCAGATCGAATATGCACAAGCAGGAGAAAAAGGAGTGGAGAGACATTTGTTACTTGAAGCAAGAAAGAAGATCACTGGAGTTGATTGGCAAAGCAGAATTCTCCTCCAGCTAAGAAAGCAGGGTCTGGGGGAGGGGGGGCTCATACATATTCATGTCAGAGAGATTCATCATATGGAGACAGGCCCAGCCATGAGCACAGTCCTCTGAGGTCTTAACCATGTGTTCTTAAAAAAGGACAGAGGGCACATTCCTAAGGATGCTAACTTGGGGGTTTTAATCATATGCTGGAAAGGAAAATTAATAGGCATGGGAGCCGGGGAGATGGCTCAGTGGAATAAGCACTTCCCTGGCAAGCGCAAGGGCCTGAGTTCAATCCTGGGTTCTGCCAAAAAAAGAAAATTAATAGTCACAGAAGTCTCAGGGCAGAGAATTTTAACATCATAATGAACCAAGCTTTCTTCAAGTCACCTAAAAAGAATGAGCCAGAATGCCTTGGTAGTTTTGACTGACTTCCTCTTAAGTATCTCCAAAGAACCTTGGCTGAAATAACAGGAAAAACAACTTTGAGGGCACGTTGCCTTACTTTCGAGGGGCAAGCAGCTTTGCTCACGCAAGTGTAGGAGCCTGCCTCTGAGGGCCTGCTGCAGCTGCGCCCAGCAGCTCTCATCTTCTCTTCATCAGTGGAGCCCCGTGAAGAGTGCTATTTCACGCAGATTCACAATCCTATTTTTGGAAATCAAAGGTATGATTTGTCTTTGCACATCTACCTTATCATAATCTTTCTCAAGACAGTGGGTCTTGCTCCTGAACAGGGAATGGCCCAGCTGGAAAACGTGGAAGAAAACATCAATGTGGTATAAAAATATTCTGTGTATTACTCCCAGAGAGCACTTCCACCATGTATCAAAGGCAGTAGAAGATGCCATATCGCTCATTACATTTGCGTGTGTGCATTTGTACATGCACAAGGATTGGCCTGTCTTGATAGTATCTTGGAAAAATATCAGTGTCTATGAGTGTGACAGCAGGCATTTCATCTACCAAATCGGGGGAGGCTTTGGATGAACCTGCTGGGCCAGAGCTGAATGAGCCCCAGCCACGTGTGTGCTGTGATCTTCCTAGCGTCATAATGCAGCTGTCGTCTTGAAGCAAGGGCTCTGTGAAATTGGGGTGACTGCAGAGCTCCCAAGTGGCACGGAAGATAATTTCTGGAATGCCATCCTTTGCTTTTCTTCCTTTTCCTTTGGTCCTGCCAGTTTCAGAGTCCTTCCTCTCCTTAAAACACGTAGTGATAGCCCTGCATTTATTTAATTGCTGAGTGATTTTTGCCCCAAAGCACTTGAAGATAATTGGAATGCGATCTAGATTATGTGCTCTGTATAATATGTAATTGGCAGCCTAGTGTGAGAACAAATTTTCAAGAGCATGCTTTTGTCTCACAGTAGATCTAATGTCTTAAAACTATAATTTTTAAAAGCCCCTCTTATTTGCTGATGTATCTCATTACCATTCTTGGGGCCTAATTTGTCTTCTGTGGGGTCTTTCTGTATGAGTGTGTGGCTGCTGCTTCTAGAAGAACTCATAGGCTCCTGGTGGTGAAGAAAGATGCAAATCCCATGTGGTTTGGCCTCAATAAATGCTTTGTAAATATTAATGATGAGGCCCACTTCCTCAGATTTACGGGTCTTGCAATACACACAGCTAGTTGTAGAGCCCAGAGGGTTTCAAGAAGAACCCTTGAGGAAAGACAATACCGTCTTTTTCCTTGATTTATCAACCATCAGATTAGAGACCTCATTTCTCCTGACAGATGTTCCTGAATGGTATCTCCCGTCCTCACATCTGCTGCCCACAATGAGGAATGCTGGGAGTTTTCTGTTCTGGAAGCTAAAAATGGAGAAAAGAAATTGAGTTTCTTGAGACACAGAGCAGTAGTAGGGGGTCGTCAGTGACACAAGCACTGTCATTACACAGTGGAATTTAGATTGGTGTCTTCAAAAGCTGTGTAGTGGCAGGATGTACATGGAGAATAAGTTTGTTTAGCTGCCCTCCTGTGAAAGGTAGCCAAACTGCTAAGCGCTACCCAGGAAAGGGCAGACTAATCCCTGGAGACTGTAGCCACAAAGGATTGGAAAAAGAATGAGGAAAGATTAACGTAATTGGGGTTTCAAATATGTGAAATTCTGTTGCAGTACACCATGAGAAATAAAATATTTTCACATATGTATAAACAAATAGGCTGTTGGTTTTTCTTTCTCAAGAAATCTTTGAGAGGGGCCAGGGAGATGACTCAGTAGAATAAGAGCTTCCCTGGCAAGCGCAAGGGTCTGAGTTCAATCCCTGGCTCTGCCAAAAAAAGAAAAAAATCTTTGAGAGAGGACAGTGTCTCTCCTATTTGGGTAAGGTGAACTGTGACCGGCCTGAAAGCAAAGGTAAACCAGTATCTATCTCTCAGCTGTGTCTCAACTGAGAATTAGTGATTCTGGGCAGTGTACTTCTCTCCCAAAATAGTTCATTTTTATATTAGCAAAATGTTTTGTGTGACTGGGCGTGGTGGCATGTGCCTGTAATCCCAGCACTTGGGAGGCTGAAAACAGGAGGATCACTATGCATTCAATCTGTATAGTGAGACCCTGTAGTACCTCTACTAAATACATTATAAAAAAATGTTTTGTTGTCTTATATCTAAAGCACAACATATGGAACACTTTTAATATTTTCTTGTTTTTGTTTTATTTGCCTTGTATCATGAAATATGGCATTCCTAAGAATTGACTTTTTTTAATCAAATGGCAATTTAGATTTTAAAAATTAGGTCATCAGATTTACTGGGGCAAAATTTTCTAGCAAGGTGCATTTCCATTTTTATACACAAGGGA